ATATATATGCCATGAATATAAACAATAAATATCAAACACTTCTAATACATTAGTGAATAACAACAAATTAAATAATATTGATTATTCTCAATAAAGACATTTTAATTTATCTCAATTGAGGTTGACTATTTTGACTGTGTTTGTTTAGAAGTTTTATAAGTTTTGAACATTCCCAAAGCAATAAACTATAATAGTGTCAAATTGTTTAAAAACTAAAGAAAACGTTTTCTTTGATTAACTAACATCTATTAAAAAACAATAAGAGTGTATCTTTCGTTAAATAAATAAGAATTTGTTTTGTCAATTCAGAAAAATGAGATAATTGAATATAAAAGAAAGAGTGTCAAGACTATCATTATTCTATCTATGCCATAACACAACTTTTCTTATATCATCACATAGTACAAATATTTTGTTTTTAGATGACATTATAAGTACAGTGAGGAATAGAAAAGAAATGACTTTAGAGAATGAATTAAAAATCTTTCACTGAAATTTTATTTGAGCTTCAAGAAAAAATGATAAAAATATGAACTAAATGAGGTGTTTCATAATTATTCAATTCAAGACAGATTTTCACCATATTAATGAACTAATCTTAAAAATGAGTATTACATTACTAAATTCATGAAAAGTCTTATTCCAGTTATTAATCAACTTCAAGACGTTTTTAATACTATTGGAGTAAAAGGAATTGACCTTCCACAAATTGTTGTTGTTGGATCTCAAAGTGCTGGGAAATCATCTGTATTAGAAAGTATTGTTGGTAGAGATTTTCTTCCACGAGGAAGTGGAATGGTAACAAAAAGACCATTAATTCTTCAATTAGTTAATCTTCCATCAACAGAAACAAAAGAATGGGGAGAGTTTGCACATAAACCAGGAGTTGTATATCGAGATTTTGAAGAGATTAAAAAAGAGATTGAAAATGAAACAATACGTCTAACAGGAACAAAGAAAACAATTTCACCAGTTGCAATTCGATTAAAGATATATTCTCCTTATGTCGTTGATTTAACATTAGTTGATCTTCCAGGATTAACTAAAATTTCTGTTGGAAGTCAAGAAAAAGATATTAGTAGTCAATTAAAACAAATGGTACTTAAATTTATTGAAAGTCCAAATGCTATTATTCTTGCAGTTACATCAGCTAATGTAGATTTAGCTACATCAGATGCATTATCTATTGCACGTGAAGTTGACCCAAATGGAGATAGAACAATTGGAGTATTAACTAAAATGGATATTATGGATAAAGGAACAGATGCAATGGATGTATTATATGGAAGAGTATATCCATTAAAATTAGGATATATTGGAGTATTAAATAGATCCCAACATGACATTGACACTAATGTACCTATTAAAACAGCACTTACAAAAGAAAAAGAATGGTTTTCTAATCATCCAATTTATTCAAAAATTGCAGACCGACTTGGCATTCCTTATTTAACAAAAACATTAAATGAAATTTTAATGCAACACATTATGAAAACACTTCCATCACTTCGTATTACTATTACTGAAATGTTAAATAAAACTAAATTAGAATATAACAAATTTGCAATTGAATTTGATCAAAAAGATGTTGCACTCTTAGAAAAAATTATTGAGTATTGTACTTCAATTCAACAAACAATTAATGGAGAGAAATTTGATATTGAAAAACATGAACTAATTGGTGGTGCAAAAATATTTGATGTTTTTGAGAATGTTTATCGACCAATTATTGATCAACTCGATTTAATTAAAGAAATTTCTGATAAAGATATTAAAACTGCTATGAAAAATACAGAAGGAGTTAACTCAGCATTATTCCTTTCACAAGCTGCATTTGAAATATTGGTCAAACAACAAATTGATAAATTTACCGATTCTTCTCAACAGTGTGTTGATAAAATTCGTAAAGAAATGTCAAATATCTTTACATATGTTGCTTCTGAAGTAGTGGTACGATATGCTAAATTAAGAGATGCTATAGTTATTGCTTCTGATAATGTTTTAGATAAAAATTTAAATAAAACACATGAAATGGTTAAAAATTTGATTGACATTGAAGAATCTTATATTAACACTATCCATCCAGATTTTGATGCAACTGAAATCATGCTAAAAGCAGGAATAAATGATGCCACACCTTCAAATGAACAAAAACCTCCTGTTGTTACTCAAGCACCACCAAAACCTATTCCACAACAACCAACAACTAAACCTCCTAAAAAACAATCACCTTCCAAAGGTGGGTTTTGGTTTTGGTCAAGCAAAGCATCAGACGAAGATGAAAATAATGAAACTCAACAACAAACCACTCCTTCAGTTCCAGTCCAACCAGAACCTAAAGTTGAACCAATTGTAATCAATGCTACTGATACAAGAGAACAAAGAAATATTAAAATGATGAGAGAATTAACTAGATCATATTTAAATATCGTAAGAAAAAGTATCGAGGATTTTGTTCCTAAAGCAATTATGCATTTCCTCATTAACCAAACATGTAAAGATTTACAAAAAGCATTAGTTGAAGAATTGTATAAGAGTGATAAAATAAATGATCTTATGAGTGAAAGTCCAGCAATTACAACAAAGAGAGAAATGTTAAAAAAGAATTTAGAGGCATTACAAAAAGCTTATAATATTCTTGAAGGAATTGTTACAATCAAAGTTAATTAAAAATATTTCTTATTTC